TGGCCAATCAACCTAGCCTGCACATCTTTGGACTGTGGGAGGAAACCAGAGCACCCGGAGGAAACCCACGCAGACACGGGGAGAATGTGCAAACTCCACACAGACAGTCGCCCGAGGGTTGAATCGAACCCGGGCTCCTGGCGCTGTAAGGCAGCAGTGCTAACCACTGAGCCGCCCAATCTTTATTAAATCCCCTTTGTAACAGCTTGCCAAAATGTAAATGGCCCATTTGTTCCTATTTTGCTTTATTCATGCTGATATAGAACCACCCACTTCACAAGCTCACATCTTGTGAGCAATCATTTGCGTAGCACCTCAATGAAAATCCAAATATGCTACATCCAATAGTTCCCATTATTGAGCAGATGATAGGGCTGATTCAAGTAGTTATATATTCAAAAAAACTCCAAGGGTTGAACATGACCTCTCCTTCATAAAGCCATAGAGTCAATCATGAAATTGGATTTCCTAAGTTCGGCTTTGACATGTCTTCAATTAAATATTTAAGCATTGTTCAGATGGTAGATGCAGAATTAACTGGAATCATTCCTGATTCCTCTCTCCACACTTTCTTGATTGGGAGGGCGTAGTGGGGCTACGTTTTCTGCTTAACAATCCACTGGAACCATTCGGAATCTAGGGAATTTTGAAGGATCACAACCAGTCCGTCTAATAAATCTGCAGCCACCTCATTTACAGGCTGAAAATGTAGCCCTTCAAATCCAGGAAATCAGTCGGCTTTCAACCCCATTAATTTTTTCACTACTGTTTCATTACTAATATTTATGTACTTCACTGGATTGAGGTTCCTGTTTTTTCTAGTACTTCTGACATGATGATCATGTCTGCTACTATAAAGACTGCCAGAAAATATTTAACATCACCACTACTTCCTTATTCTCCATTGAATTTTAAGCCACTGCTAACAAAGTTTTGTAACTTTGAAGACTGAAGCGCAAGAAACCCAAATTAGAAAGGGAATAAGTTAAACACGGGAAGGAAACAATTTTGGATATTTTGCACATCAGTCCTGATGAGTGCAAGGTTTGACATCTTCAATTTTGACATCTCCATTTAATAATGTTTATGTTCGGTACCATGAAGCAATTATTTATTGCCCATTAGAATTTAAGGGACACCCATTTGATTTTGCCGCTCTCTTCCTTATCACAAAGATGTGAAGCAGTGAGTTCTTCCTTCCTGGTCCCAGGTCCCTCAAATGGACACCTAGTAAGGTTTGCTCTTCAGGCACCTTGCACGGCATCTCACCAGCATACTATTGGATGAATATTTCTCACTTAAGGATCTCAATTAATGTCCAGGTTGGAAGGCCCAGTCCTTCTTTCCCTGGACTTAAATCAAGCGAAGGCAAGAAGGGAGTGGGGTCCACCCCTGCATCCCATCTCCAACATTATACTCCATTGTCCACCTCCAGGCTTGGCACTGGTCTGTTATTACATTCCACCATTAAGGGAAAACAACCTGATCAATTTTCAGGAACTACATAAATAGTCCCTTGCAGCAAGTAAGAAGAATGCCATTACTTTTCTCTCACCACCTCATACTGCCTCCATGATTAACCCTAAAACATTTCTCTATGGGAAGGAGATCATGGGTAGAGAAAACAGACAAGGTTATAAAATGAATTTACTGCATTTCTCTAACTGATGGTCACCTAATAAAGTACCAGAATGAAGATTAAATCATCTACAGAAAAGCACCTGGCATGGCAATATTACAATAGGGAAAACACCTAGTAAGTAAAGTATTTCAATATATATTCTGAAAACATCATGCACAGAGTTATTGGTTGAGGTGACTAAGATCCTTACAGAACCTCTTTCCTGTCGTGATGCAACCACGATAAGAGAAGGAACACACAGAGTGAAAACCTGAAATACAGCAATGTCATTGCAATTTTCTCCATTTGTTTTCTCTGTTGTGCCCAGGAAGGTGGAAACAAGAACAGACTTGGAAAAAATGCAGGTGATTGCAGCATGGGAAATAAGAAAAGGCAATCATGCAGATTTTAAGAAAGGGAATGCCGTCCTGCCCACAACCACTGTTTTTTTCCCTGAAAACAGGGACAGAAATGCTAACCAATTATTTGTCAACCTTCTCCTGCACTTTTTTGAAAACATGCTTTATAATAGTTGATAACTCATCCTCTGGGATAGCTGAAGAGTGCTATTGTTAACATCAAAAGCAAACATTCTGATGTCACAACAGAATATCTGGAAAACTGTCTAAGTATGATGAAAATAAAACAACATGGTCTGATTAGACTTGCCCTCATCCATTAAATTTTGAGCTTTATAAACAGAATACCATGAGTAAATGCAAGGACCTCAGGGAACATTCAAGAAAATACTGCAACAGAAAGACGAAAAACGAATGGAAAACACCCCAATTAGTGTACCAATTGATTTGATCTATAGAAGCAAAAGAATGTGTACCCAGATTGTTCAAATAGTTCAGACAGTTTAAGGACACCCTGGTTTCAATAGTACTCAAATAACACAACCAGCCTCAGTAGCTCCGTCATAAACATGAGAAAATTGCTCAGGGTTTTCCGTCTGTTATGCACTGAAACCTGGTGCAATTGCATATCTGTGGCCTTCACTGGTCCAACAGTCAGACTGATATTGCAGGGAGCTAGTCTGATATATACTCACTCGAAAATAATGGAGCATTTTGGGAATGTCAAAATGGGCCAAAGTTTTACCATGGGAGGCTGAGTGGTGGGGGGTGGGGAGTGCTGGGAAAAGGGAGGGAGGGTGGTTGGAAGGGTAGCAAAGTAGTAAGGGGAGTAAATTAGCAAGAGACAGAAAGAAAATAAATCAGCTCCCATTAGTTTTAACTAGAATCATTTCCCATGAAAATCTAATCAATCAATCATTTCTTTGAAATTACTGAAAACTTCACTTTCCATTCCCTTTTACAAGAAACACACAAGGTTCTAGGGAAACCCTGCACTGCTAAAGTATTTTGAAAGGGAAACTGACAAAAAAAAACTTAAAATAATGTAAATTTCTAGCTCCGATGGGGCCTTGGCTGTTGGGTAGAGTGTCCTGCATCGCCTCATTTTGGAAATGCCTGTCAGATCACTCAGGCACTTGACAAACCAGCTGTAGACTTTTCTTAGATCAAAATACCCTGCGAACAGAAGTCCCATGCAAGAACAGTTACTTGTGCATTAAAGAATGACTGTTCTATTGAATGATTCTTACAGTTGGAATTTATTCCAATGACTTCATAATTTATCGCTGATATTATATTTAGTACTGCTCATATTATTTGTTGCATTTTAGTGATGATTGAGAGAAAACTGCTGCGTTCGTAATTGGCCAAATTCAGTTTGTCTTGTTTTTATACACAAGATGTTCTTGGGCAATTTCCACAATAATAAGTAAATGCCAGTGTTA